TTTTTTTTTTTTTTATTCTCCATAATGTTACTAAGTTCTGGTTATTCTAATAACATTAATCCCCACTTGCTTAAAACCCCTTAATGACTCTTCACAGTTCCCGTTATGAATCACCAATTTCTGAGTAAGAGATTGATTGGTTCCCAGTGGCAACTGACTTGACGATGACAATGATCATATATCACTTTAGCAGATAGGAAGTATACACGGAGAAGCAAATTTGTGGAGGGAAGGCAATGAGTTAGTTCACTTGACAATGTAGAAGAAATAAACATTTGCCTTGTGGTTTAGTTTTTAAGTTATCAGAATCATTTTTATTTGATTTAAGCTTTATGTTAACAACTATGAGAGCAGGAGAGAAGCATCTTTTAAACATCCATCTCAAACACCAGAAGCTGTTCTGAGATTTTTTTTTATATTGATGGGAAAAAATAATTTTGTTAATGCTAGGTGGGGAAAAAATATAATGTTTTCAAGTTTCTTTACATTTGAAGTGATTAGGTTTAAGTTCTTGAACTCTCATTTTTGCCTACTAGCCTTTCAAAAAATCTTTCCATAATTATCTAAACATGTCTCAAAAGCCATGATGTGCATATAAATCATGAGATTTACCTTTTAGATTAGTGAAGATAAGCTCTGAGGTAAAATAATGGATAGCAGAGTATTTCTTTACTTTGAATGAGAGGAAATCATACTAGATATATTTAAATATGACAATAAAAACACTTTATTTTTGTTAAACACCTTGCCTCAACTTTAATTGTGAACACAGGTTTTTACTGTACCATAAATATTTTATATCCCCTACCTTTTCTTAATACAGGAAGAAAAGATATTCAATATAGTGCCCAGAATAAGAAAACACCTTTAGGCCTAAGTGTTTACATTCACTAAATATTCACTAAATAAGGATTACTCTAAATAAGGATTACTCTATTCACTAAATAAGGATTACCCTAACATAAACAAGATTACCAGCCTACTCTGGGGTATTATTTAGAAAAGTGATTATTCCCTTGTTTAAAAAATGAATGTCCCAATCAAAATTCCCACAAGCTATTTTGTAGATATCAACAAAGATGCTAAAGTTTATATGGAAAAGCGAAGACCTAGATTAGCAACACAAAGGACAAAGTTAGTGTACTCACTCACACTAACCTATTTCAAGAGTCAGCATATAAGTACAGTGATCAGGACAGTGTGGTACTGGTGAAAGAATATACACATATATCGATCAATGGAACAGAGTAGAAGGCCCAGAAATAGGCTCACACAAATATAGTCAAGTGATCTTTGACAAAGGAGCAAAGGCAATTCAATAGAGAAAGAATAGTCTTTTCAATAATTGGTACTAGAACAACTAAATATTCATATAAAAAAGTGAATCTAGACATAGACCTTATAACTTTTACAAAATTAACCAAAAATTGATCATAGACCTAAATGTAAAACACAAGACTATAAAACTTCTAGAAGAAAACTTAGGAGAAAATCTAGGAAACCTTGGATTTGGCAATGTATTTTTAGACAAAACACCAAAAGCATGATCAAAGAAAGAGAAAGGTGGTAAGTTGGACATCATTAAAATTTAAAACTTCTGCCCCGTGAATGACACTATTAAAAGAATGAAAAGACAAGTTCACAGACTGGGAGAAATATTTGCAAAACATATCTGGTAAGAGACATATCCATTATATATTTAAAACACTCTTAAAATTCAACAATAAGAAAATAAAGAAACCCATTAAAAAATGGGCACAAGATGTGTAAACACAAAGATGTACAGATGGCAAATATGCAGATCTTTGTTTCTAATACCATTCTCCAATATAAGGAACATGGTTTCTTGGAGAGAAGGCTGATTCTGGAACTGGGGTAGGAAATATATAATATGAGTCTAGAGAATTTGGTAGTGCCAGAAAGTAAGGAAGCACATACACACACAAATCCACATTAATGGTGGGGGCACAATATGTCAAAGGGACATAGGAGCCAACTGAAAGAGCTTCCAGTGGCCAAAGCTGGAACAATTTGAACAATAAAATAAGTAAAGTAGTATTGGATTATAACCCAAATTATAAAATAAATATTCGTGAATCCAAACTGATATATATAAATAAATGGTAGAAAAAAGACAAACCTCCTGGGAAGAATAATTTCCAATAATTTATATAGATAGTTTGCCCTCAAGGAGGGGAAACTGAACTTCCCACCCCCTAACTATGGGCTGCCCATGACTTCATTCCAAAGAGTCCAGGGGAGGGAAGAGTAAATTTACATTGGAGAAACCTGAAAAACACTACCTCAGCCAGGTGACCAAGGTCATCTTCAACAGTGATGTCATGTTAGTAGTATGTACCTCAACCTTAGTCTAATCCCTAGAAAAACATCAGACAAGTCCCAAAAGAGGGCATCCTACAAAATAACTGATTAGCATGCCTCAAAACATCAAGGTTATCAAAACAAGGAAAGTATAAGAAACTGTCCCAGCTAAAAGGAGCCTTAGGAGACATGGACAACTAAATGTAATATGACAGAATAAGGACAATAAGTAGAAGCTAAGGACATCTGGGTAAAATAGGGACTTGAGTTAGTGAGAATGTATTGATATTAGTTCATTTAATTATAAAAAATGTACTATACTAATATAAGATGTTAATAATAGGAGAAACTGGGTGGAGAGCATATAGGAACTGTGCTATCCTCTCAATTGTTCTGTAAATCTAAAACTGTTCTTTCAAACAAATCAAAGTACTATTTGAAGGTCTCACAATAACGCAGTGTTTTCTGTCTCTGCAGTTTTGAGAGTGTTTGCTGCCTTGCTGACTCTACTTCTCTCTCAGACATCACTTTTGATGGCAATCCCATAGCTCAAGAGTCATGGTACAAACACACGATCCTTCAGAATATGATGCAGCTGCGCCAGCTGGATATGAAGAGAGTCACGGTGAGAACGCTTCCGAAGGGCTTTCCAGACTGTTGTCCTTAGTGTGGATGAGGAAATTGGGATGCATGTCCTCTGCTTGAAATGTTTCTTAATTTCAGTGAACTAGGGATTACCATGAATGTAATTATAGTATAGTTCATAATTGTAATTATAGCTATGTTTTACCATCTTTCCCCTATCCCCAATGTCATTGAGTAGGGCTTTTAAAATTCCTTGCCTTCCATTTAAATTAATCATTATGCTCGTTTTTCATTCTTGCTTAATATCTAACTAATAATTTACTTTGTAATGAGTGAGTAAGAATTGTATCGATAATGATTAAGAACCTAATGGTTAGCCCGGCCAGCCGTGGCTCAGCGGTTGAGCGTCGACCTGGGATCCAGGCGATTGGGGTTCGGTTCCCGGTCAGGGCACATGCCCGGGTTGCGGGCTGCAGCCGATCAATGACTCTCATCATTGATGTTTCTGTCTGTCTCCCTCTTCTTTCCTCTCTCTGAAATCAATAAAGATATATTAAAAAAAAAAAAAAAAAAGAACATAATGGTTAAGAAAGTGGGTACTGGAGCCAGACTGTTTAAGTCTGAATCCTGGCTTGACTATTTCCTAGTCGTATGACCTTCAACAATTTACTTAACCTTTCTATACCTCATTTTCTCAAAGTAAAATGGGGATTATAATTGTATTGTGTCATAGGGTTGTTGGTAAGGTAAAATGAAGTACTGAACAAATCTTAGAATGTGGTGAGGCTCCTAGGAAACATCATATGGAGTTGTTACTGATGCTGTACCTCTCCAAGTAGCTCTCTCTTTTTTATTCATTCCACCTCCATATGCGGCATCTTCTACACTTAGAGGTTTTCATATGGCTCCTGATCTGAGTGAAATGCTGCATATGATACCCCTGCTTACAGGTGTACAATGTACATTAGCATATTTTGGGCTCCAAGAAGTTCTGGAATAAAGAAACATATCTTAATTTGTTTTATTGCATCCCAAGTTAATTTGAATATTTTATTTTCTCAGAAAATTCCTTTTAATAATCTCAGACCTAAGCTTCTACCTGTTTTCTTACTTCTTGACTCTGCTAATTTTGATGTGAATTCTGAGTGATCAGCTAGGTTTATTCAGTTTTCAGTTGACTCGCGGCCTGCACAGCAGCTTCACAATGTGTGCAGCTTACAATTCCACCTCAGCAATGTTATAGACGGTGAAGATGGCTAGCAGATAGTTAAGTGTGGGTGAATTCATGCATACCAGGAATCGGCTAGGGTTCTGCCTCTCTCTTTGTTCGAGCGTGGAGGTTTGGAACAGTTCGTCCTCTCAGTTTGTTCAGATCTATTCTGTCAACACTGTTTCTTCCTTTTACCCTTATCTCCATGTCTTTCTTAATTAAGCATCTTGGGTGCATCTTAATGCTCTTCCTGATGAAGTTGATGTGAGTGAGATAAGAGGTGAAGCTAACCCACTTATATAAATTAGTACTTAATTCTGTACAGTAAACCCTTGATTTTGCAGACCTCGATTTAACTGACTTTGGATTTAATGGACAAAATTCCCAGTCCATATGTCACCTGTGAAAATTAACACCCTGTTAATTTTAAAATTATTTTAACCTACATTTGCTTACAATTAAATTAACAGGTTATTCTTTTTGTTATTAATTCACTTTATTTTTAACAAATTTTAGCAAATAAGCCATATGTTGGAAAAAACACTGTAGTAATTTCTCCCACATAAATAAACATTACATATCTACAACTATAGTCTACATATTTAAATCCAAGTGTCACTGCTTGTAAACAATGTTCGGCAAATGATTAGCATATGATCACACCGCATTGCACGTGGTAACTGGTTCTGTTGTCCTGTGGCATGACTTTCTGCCACAATTTTAACACTTGCTGGCTGCTGTTCCCACTCGAGCTAAGCCACGCCCCAGCCATGTGCATTTGTTTACTATTTTTTATTTTTTTATTGATTTTAGAGAGAGAAAGGGAGAGGGAGAGAGAGATGGAAACATCAATGATATGAGAGAGTCATTGATCGGCTGCCTCCTCACACCCTCTGCTGGGGATCGAGCCCGCAAACCGGGCATGTGCCCTGACCAGGAATCAAACCACAATATCCTATATCATAGGTTGATGCTCAACCACTGAGCACATGGGCCTGGCCATTTGTTTACTCTTGGTGACTGGTGAATGCACACATTTACTAGATTTATTTAGTATAAATTTAAAATTACAGTAATATATACAGAAAACTTTTCTGTGAAATTATACTTTGCATACATAATTTTAATTACACAAATGTGTCTCCATAAGTAAAAACAGGTAAACTCACTAATTTGTCAATTTTTTAACATATGCATTCAGAAAACCTACTTTATTATATAATGGACTTTCAGCTTTACTGGATACTCCCTCACCCGAATTAGTCCGTTATATTGAGGTTTTACTGTATTGTGTTTCTTACAGTGAATTTATGTCTACCCAACTAATATACTTAAGGACAGAAGCCATTCTTTTTCCTTGTCTAATACATATAGATGTTCTTAACATGTTTCTTTTCTTTATCTCACTCAATGTAGACAATCAAATGTTCAATAAAGACTTGTTGGTTCAGTGAGATTTACCTAGTTTTATGCCTTAATTAAAGGAGAATAAAACTGCATATAGGCATTGCCCTTGTACAGTCCATAGACTATGTTTGCCTGGTAAGGAAATGAGGGGAAATCGCCTGGGATGGGAGCAGGGCCAGCTATCCTGCTAAATACAGAGCAGCAGTCCTTCACATCTGCTCCTCCACTGTTTATTTTAGAAACTTAAAAAACTCTTAAATGGAAACAATCTCAAAGTTACAGAAAAGTTGTACATACAGTACAAAGAACTTTTTTTTCTTGAACTGTTGTCAGATGTGGACCAGGACCAAGGTGGGTCTGCCAGACCAGTCTTGAAATGGGTCCCTACGAAGTCACAGGAAAAGCATTTTGGGGACTCATGCATAGGAGGAGTTGAGGTATACTGGCCTGATTTATTGGAGGGGCACACAGGGCATGGATGCCCTGCAGAGGCTGCTGCACTGCCTCATTCACGACCAGGTGGCTCAGCTCCATCTTACTGCAGAAGAAGTCCAGCTTGTGGAGTCACAGGTGCACTTGTCCTCACCCAGCCCAGGGGAAGGGCTAGGACTCAGACCTGCCCTGTCATTAACCTGGCATTCAAGGCTCTGGTAGTCCAGCACCAGAAAGAGAGAACGCTCCTTGGGCCTTTGTTAAGCTTTGATTATATCTCCTTGGGCTTGGGAGAGAGCAGGCTTTCTTTAACACTATCCAGTCTTCTTCCTAATTCTTCTCTGGCTTGTGCTGACCCTCCCCCTATCCAGTCCCTTTCCTAAATCTTCTCGGATTGGTACCCTTATCCTATCCAGTCCTTTTCCCCGATTTTTCCAGGTTAGACTCCTCCCCTTTATGGTTGCCATGTTGGCTCCTACTGTGCATGCCTCAACAGAGGAATTTCCCCCTTACTGTTTTATTCCCTCCCCCACCTCCTAATCTATGGGAAGGGGACAGTTGTTCCCTGGGGAGACTGGAAAACTGGACTTTCCTCCCTTCTCAGGGATGTTAATCCCCTTGGCAGGGCAATGTGGCTGTTCCCTGGAGTAGACGTTTGGAAGCCATAGCTTCCTAGTTAATCCAGCTTAATTGGCTGCCTGGCTCCCTTCTCTTTCTTTAATATCTAACTAGCTGCTTACTCAATTCTTCAACAGCCCTGGACACTATAGTGTGTATTTCTTATAAACAAAGACATTCTCCTGTATAAACACAATATAACCAACAAAATCTGGAAATGAATATTGAATAATTGCTATTGTTGAATTCTCATACCACATTCAATTTTACCAATCATATCAACAATATGCTATATAGCAAAATGATCCAGTTTGGAATTATACATTTGTTGGGGCTAAAAAAATATTAATACTTTTCCTCCTACCTTCTGAATTCTTCTGACTGGGCCAATAGCCAAATTAACAGAGACAGATTAACAGGAGAAGTTAATCTCAAAGTTTAATATATGTGCATGGGGAATTCACATAGACATGATAATTACATGAAAATTCTGAAGACAGTGAGGCAACATTGGGTATATAAAACATTTTTGGACAAAGGAGAAGGGGATGGGGGGAAATGGAGTATTAGATTTCAGAAGTGAAAATGGATGATTTGTAGGTAGTTGAGAAGGAAGGAACACACTTGGCAGAAAAATCCTAGCTAGGTGGCTCAGAAACCTTGTGACACGGGCTATGTACCTGCCTGAATCCCTCTTCTTTAGTCTAATTAAAATTAGACTAAGGTGACATCCTGAGATCTTCTTCCTGAAGTAGGTTTATCTGTCTGAATCTCTGGGTAGGAAAGGGGTGAGGGTCAAAGTTTCTTTCTGAGTCTTTTGTTTCTTAATAAACACCTTAAAATCTATATCCAAAACAGCAGCGTCAGGGTGGCAGAATTTTGTCCCCACATGTGGCATTGAGATGCATTATGTTGTCATGTCTCTATCACCACCATTTTTTTCAGGCACAGTTCCTCAGTTTTTCCTTGATTCATGACTTTAGTATTTATGAAGATTACAGTCCAGTTATTTTGTAGAATTACCCTCAATTCACATGTGTGTTTTTTAAAGGTTTCCTCACAATTAATTTTTAGCTACAGATCTTTGGCATAAATATCACAAGTGACTTTGTATTCTTCTCATTGCATCATGTCAAGCGATGGGTGATTTATATTTACCCCTTACTGATATCACTCACTTTAATTAAGGTGGTGTCTGCCAAGCTTCTCCATGTGAAGTTACTGTTTTCCTTTTGTAATTCTATTTCTCATAAAAATTTCAATTCATTTATTCACATTGGGATGGACCATGGTTTTTAGTTTCACTTTTTGTCTATAATTTTGTAGTAACTTTAGTGTGGAAACAATACACCTTTTAAAGACTTGCTGTAACA